TAATTAATTTTCTTTTTGTTTATATGGTATTACCACTTATTTACATGTAAGAGCACGTTTTCAAATTTTATGGTAATTAATGTATATACAATGAATATAATGAATCCAGTATTCAATTATAATTCTTAATATCTGAAAAGATAGATGCAATATTATATAATTAATTTAGTATCGAAGTATGGATATATATATATATATATAAATATATATAAGAGGTAGGAAACTCTGTTTGAAAATATTATTTACCTAAAAATTAATTAAATTTGCTTTTAGTGCAAAAAAAATATATAATATTAACAGTGAAAATAATTGAAATATTAAAATATGAATTATTTTGAGACCGTATATCATATTTGTTTTAGCATTTAAAAATTAACATTTTCTATTCTTATAAAAATATGTAAATGCAAGTTTCCATTCTCCATTAACTATAAAAACATAATTTTCAAGTAATCTTGAGCACATATTTTTAGGCTTAATTTTTTTAAATTTTTTCAGGATGATATTTTTCTAAAATATTCAAAAAGCAAATTACATTTTTTATTTTTTAAAACATGTAAATTTCTTTAATAATTAATATTTAAAATAAATTATTGTTTGTACCCGTCGGGTCATTGTTTGGGCCCAATTTTATTTTCCCCCAACCTTACCCGTCCTGCCACCCCCTTGAGAATCACAACCAGAATCAGGAAAAGCAACCAAAATTTGCAGAATCTCTCTCGAGTTATCCAGCCTTTTTGCGAACAACCAAACCCTAATTCACTCGTATTCGTACAACCAAACTTCTCGCTCTCTTTGGTCTCTAATGAAAATGGGTGATCTCAGGAAACGTGGCCGGAAACCCAAAACGCCACCACCGGCCACCGTCGACTCCATGGATTGCCAAGCCAAGACCACCACCTCTACCAAGCAACACGAAACCGTTTCCAGCCCCTCCACTGACCCAACAACCACCGCAGCCAACAACGACCCGTCACCTTCCCGCCGTGGCCGTGGTCGTCCCAGGAAAATAAGAAAGCACCACCATTCGGAGAGCTCGGAGCCTGGAACCACTGTATTATCATCCCCTGAACGCAGAACTCGCCACCAAGTTGAACAGAACGGTGACTGCAACGGCGTCCTAGCGGGGGAGCCATCGCCGAAAACATTGTCCTTGGCCCCTCGTTGGGATAGCGTTGTTAAGGTTGTGCCCGCAATGGACGCCGTGGTGAAGGTGTTCTGCGTGCACACAGAGCCCAACTTCTCGCTGCCGTGGCAGAGGAAGAGGCAGTACAGCTCCAGCAGCAGTGGGTTTATTGTCAAGGGGAGGAGGGTCCTCACGAATGCTCATTCTGTGGAACACCACACCCAAGTCAAGGTCAAGAAGCGCGGGTCTGATACTAAATACCTGGCCACGGTCTTGGCTATTGGGACTGAATGTGATATTGGTATAAACTTGTATGCTTATGGGTTTTGCTTTGCTTACTTAGTAATGTAAAACAAATAGGGTTGATTTATTCCATAGGGACTTGAGGATAATTAAAATTTAGACACTACGCATAGAGTTTCTTAGACATCACATTTAAGAAGTCTTAACTATCACATTGAAGGATTTGATTGCACCACTCAACCACAGAAATGAGAAACTATGAAAGTATATTATTGAATACTTAAATGATAAATACATGAAATTACAAAGTTATTTACAATAATCTTTTCTTAACTAGATTTGAACTAGATAATGGTAAATTAATAGAATTAGGAATACTAACCCTAATAAGAATAAGAAACTAATAGTAATAATATTAGCATTACTAATTCTATTACAAATAGAAAAATACTAATAAGAACAGAAATCCTAAGTTAATAAAACCATAATAATACTCCATAATATAACACAGTTGTTAATAGTATAATAGTTTCACATTTAAAAGAATTATAACTTCTAATGTATTTAGACATAACTCATTTAGCATCATTCTCCTTTGGTTAGACGAAACTCATCCACAAGTTTTGAAGTAGCGAACGGTGTAAAATTTTGATACTTGAGCTTTCTTATAAAAATTTAGCAACTTTTTTGCTCGGTCATTCTCTTCAGTAGCAAACATGATGGAAACACGTAACTGTTTATGAATATGAAATCCTGATAGTAGGATGAAATCAATATATGAACCAATTTGCACTTCAACTTCATCCTTGAGTTGAACATCGCTAGTCTCAATTATTGGCTTAGGTTCTTTCTTGCATTGGTCTTTTATAGAACTCTCTGTAGATAATGAAAGAATCTTGAGTAATTTCAATATCTCTACTCTTAGGAAGACATGATAGTTCTTCTCGTTTCTCAACTTTGACAGAGTCATTCTATCTTTTTCACTACTTGTAGGTGCTATCGGATGTTTATATTTTTTCATCTCTTCTATAGTCAGAAACTCTAAAATTATATGTTTCATGCAATGCATATAAGTATTAGTATTCATCTGATCATACTGAGTCTTTCGATCACAAAATCAAGGTTTGCCTAGAAGAATGTGTGAACATCATAGGAATTACATCCACAAGATTGCATCACTACAAGTACCATGATGAATAGAAACAAGATTTGTTGAGTAACCAAAATACTCGATTTGTCTGTCCATGCTAATCTATATGGTAGAGGATGCAGTTGCTTCCAAATATTGACTCATTCAACTGTAGATATTGAAACAAAATTTCTGCAACATTCAGTGTGAATGACAAGTTTTTACATTTGTTTTACAGCATGCTACAATCTGGAAAATTGGGGAATAATTTGGATCTTTTTTCACTTGAACTGCTTAGTTGTGCTTACCTACTATCAAGAAGGACTTGACAATTCTATCACCCTCAAGTGTTGACTCATTTTCCTCCTTACAATTCCAAATGTTTAAATCTTTTTCACCACACTAACTTTTGTGAAGAGATTGCAAATTAGAAAGAGCCAACAAAATACCAGGGATCTTGCTGAAAGCCAGTCTGGCTGAATTGGTTTGGTCAACCCCAGTTCACAAGTCAAACAGAACGCGCCCTTGCAACGTTCACTTGTGGGTGCGTGTCTGGCGTTCAGTCACCAGACAACAATGATCTTCGGTCAGTCAACTTGAATTTTTGTGGCGGTTACAGACCGGAGGATGATGCCAGACATGATTGAGCAGAAGTACAGGACCAAGAGAGGCAGCGACTGGGGAACTTGCATCAGCAAGTGTGGTGGTTTATTATGGAGCTTCACTGTGGGCCTTCCAGAGTAGGTCAGTCGAGCCTTTTTGGAGCCGGTGGCGGTGGCCTTTTTGTGAATGGTGTTGGCGGCTGTTTTAGGGTTTTTTTTTTAATTTTTTTTTCTTATGGATTTTGGGACTATTTGGGTATAGGGCTTTGATAATCCGGGTGTAGGATACTTGTAGCTTTTTAATACCAATTGATGTAGGACAACTAGTGTTGATTTGTCCAATTATGGATTTGAGGATAAAAAGACTTAGACATTAGACCTAGGATTTTTTAGACATTACACCTAGGATTTTTTAGACATCACATTTAAGAAGTCTTAAGCATCATGTATAAGGATTTGATTGCATCACACAACCAACAATATGAGAAAATCTCAAAATATATTGTTAAATATTTGAGTTGTCAATAAGTGAAATTATAGAGCTATTTATAGTAATCTTTTTCTAGCTAGAATTAAATTAGAAAATAGTAAATTAATAGAATTAGGAATACTAATTGTAATAAGAATTAAAAACTACCTTACTCTTGGGTCACAATTTACTATCCTTAGAAGATATTGGAGCTATTGTTGATATGTTAATTGACATGTAACATTTTTTGTATATGAGTTGTACTCTCTTG